CACTGTCAAGACCTCAGGCCGATATTCTCCCAGTACAGCCCTCGCGCTTGGTTAATAAGATATATTTACAATTCCTCATAAGATGTGCACCAAGTCACCAAGCATTCATATTAAAATTGTAATTTTAAATAAATCTTCCTGGCAATATTCTCATGTAATCACTACAGAGGGGAAGCTAGCCCAGGTAATGAATTCATGTTTAAGCACAGAAAGTGAGATCTTATAAATCACACGAGAAATTTTTACCAGGAATGCCTTGAAAGGTCACACCATGTTGATCTAAGTATGTGAACTAATGCCAATTTACACCAATTAACTTGTTGAAATAGACTGGCTTTGATTCATCGATTGATTTTCTGAATTACAGTCTTTTCGTCTAAGAGTCCTTTAATCCAAGTCTTTTTGTCCAAAAGTTTTTTCATCTAAGTCTGTTTGTCTCATTGTTAAGTCTTTTCTCGAAGCAAAGAAATAACTGTTAGAAGGCTAGATAAGGCTATATAAAGAACTTATTAGTGCGAGCTGTTACCATTTTGGCTCCGATAGCTTTAGTCACCAATCCTTGTTTACGAATTCAACGTCGTTAGTTACTATAAATACACAGAGAAGATGCTGATTTGGGGTCATTTTTGGCTTAGTTTTATTTCTTTATCATGTTGGACTATGTTGTTGGTTATGTTGGACACTTAGTGATGTTACCCTTAGTGGTCTATTGCGCCCAATGGACGATTAACAACAAGCCTAATAGTCCCATTTCTAGTTTCGCGTGAAATAATTAAATGGCAAGTCTTTTTTTCTTGTCACTATTTAATAAAATATATCGCGTAACAACTTCATTAAAATAATTTTATAACTTTGACGAAAAAACTTGATATTGGACGAATGGACCTAAGACTTTAGACGAAAAGACCGGATACCGCTTTTCCGATCATCAATTTTCATTGATTGTTGGTCCTGCTTAAAAAGCACCGACAGACAAAGAAATAATTACATTTACAAGTACGGTCCATATAAAGGTGTCTTATATTAAAAAACAAAGGTTGGCACTTGTAATTAAAAATGAATCCACCAATCAGTCGTTTAACTATTGAAGATTGTCACCTCTCACTCTGCCGGAAACCTTACAATAATTGTAATCCTTACAAGAATGGTTTGAACCCAAAAGTAAGGGTCGAAAGGTAATACTAAAAAAAAAAAAAAAAACTATACGTTAATTTGTGAAAAAATTAGACATTTTTTTCGACAACGACTCTTTTTCAGAACTATCCTCCGATTCGATCATACTTCTTGCGTTGTACGAGAAATAACTTCCATACTTACGACAAAGTTGACGGGTCCAGTCGCTGCATTTTAACGACTTCATTATTGCATGTACGATCATAAAAGGGATTTGTTCTTTGTGAAAACTATTCCAAAACATTTTCAGGATTGAGAACCGGAATCCAGGCGCTGTCATGCCACGAAAGACCTAGTTGACTTTCCGACGGTTCGGCCGCCATCTTGGTATTCTTTTCAATATGTTTAGGAGAGGGGATTGGGTACTTGTTCGCTTCTCTCCTTACATGACTTATTAGAACATAGCTGGCAGAGTCGCGCAATCTAATTCATTATACTAAAGCGTGCTCAAAATCCCGATAGTGCACGCCGATAGCGTCAGCAAATCCGACTTCGCCAGAAATTTTTTTTCGCGCGAGCGGCCATTGTTAGCGCGGGGAAAAATAATATATTTCGCGAGAAAACAAAGCAAAAGGAGACTCGGCATCAGCACCGTCACGATTCGCTTCAACTGTTATTGTTGTCCGTTTTTCGCGTCGGATTTGATGCACAATTCCACCGGCTATGTTCTAAAACAATTGGTTCATCCTTTCAGCTGTGCACTATCGAGTTATGGAGCACATGGGAAGTTTGGAGAGCACTCACGCTTCCTTCGTGCTCTCAAACTTCCCGCGTGCTCCATAACTCGATAGTGCACGCTAAAGCATGAGCCAATTGTTAACTAACTATCTGTGGTCCCTCAGTGAAAACTCTATTAGGCCCCATTTATATAGTCTCGGGTACCCGAGACAACCCCACCCTCGAGTCAACCTGGGCGAGCTAACTTTTCAATTATTTCTTACAAAATTCAACCGACCGTTTACACGAGGTTGTGAACTCGTCTCGGGTAGGCTAGATAACTCGGAAGAGAAGGAGCGGCGGGCGAGTTGTCTCACCTCGGCAGGTAGGGTAACCCTGGCGGCCGGGACAACTTTTTCTTAGGTAAACAACTTGTCCAGCCCACCCGAGACAGCCTTAGAGACCCAGGAGTGGGGTTTAGACACGACTGATTCCCCTTTCGTTCGCCATCAAAACCATATGATCCCCACAAAATACCCCGCCCCGCCATCACCCAGACCATAAATAATAATGACCACTCCCGTACGATTTGTATTACGTCAAGGGATGGCCAAGTGCAAGAGGGCTCTTCGTCCTGTGATCATAATCTCGTTCCAGGCCATTACAGCTATAAACAGTAGAGAGCTTCCTTTTGTCGTTGAGCCACCGCAACCGAAGCATGCATCATCTTGGAAAAGTTGCATTAGAGGCAGCAGTAAAGGCAGTAGTAAGTACAGCAGTAAGTACAGCAGTAAGTACAGCAGTAAAAGAAGGAACGTCAGCTGTAAGCAAAGCTGCAAAAACAAAGGGTGATCGAAAAGTCACCCCAAATTATGAGTCGCAACAACCATTCCCAGTACTTTGCACCCAGGGAAATACAGTCCACTCGAAACTGCGTCAATTTTCACAGAAAGATCTTCAGGCAAGCATCTGCTTTTTCAATGAAGGCTTTTTGTATCTTTCTAAAGTAATTGGAGAGGGATCCGGAGTTATCAATGGAAGAGATGGAGTCGAGGATGTTTCAAGGAGGTCAAAAGAGAAAGCATTACCCGGAAGTATCGAGGATCATGACATAATTCCATTGACAGCTTTGCTGGAAGCAATAATACGCTTTGGAGATTTGAAAGAATGGGATGATTCGGCTGCGAAGGCACTGGCAGATGCGAAGGAGAGGTTCAGAGTTGCTCGAAAAAAAGCGACGAAAGCTTTCTGCAACGAAGTCTTAAGCAGCAGTGAGCGAATTTTTGCTGCGCGGTATCGGGTTGCCTCGACGTTATTAGAGAAAGTGGACAGTCCTGAAGATGCGTTAGGGGCTTGTGAATTGTGCCTTCGAGAGCTACACGCCCTACCTGATGTTAAGACAGGCTTTAAGGAAAATGGAGGGTCGCAAATTATTCAAGCGGATGTGCGTGACCTTAACAGCTTTGTTTGCGATGTTACGCAAGTCACTGGTGGCGTTGGGGCGCTTATCAGCTGGCCATGTGTCGTTGCTGGTGAAAGAAGAGTCGATCCCTTGCACCATGAAGAAATGATGTCCTCTCATTGCTGTATGTCAAAGTCGTTTGGTCAGGAGGGAGACGACGAGCAAAAATTGACGTTTGCTTGGAGTATTACGTCCAACACAAGAGGAGATTTCCTTGTGCCCGACAGTATAGATCGCAACATCAAAGTCTTCAACAGCAACGGCAAGTTTGTGCGCTCTGTAGATCCCTTTGCAGATGAGCCGAGGTCTTATGATGAGATATGGAATATAGCCGGTGACTCTTGGGACAACATTTACGTGTTGACGCTGCACAGAACTGAAAGAGTCCCCATTTCAAGTCTGGTCTATATACTGGACGAGGATGGCCATCTGATTCAGAGGCTCCCCTTGCGAGAAGGTTTCAGAGGCTCTGCAGTTGCAGTGGACGACAACAGCCGAGTTTTTGTTCTGGGAGGTTCTTTTTCAAATTTTCACAATGATGAAGTGCAAGTCTACCAGCTCTGCCAAGGATTTGTGCAAAGCTTTGGAACTAAACATTTAATAAACGCAGAGGATATCACTACCGCTGACGACGATCGTGTGATGGTAGTGGACGGAGAATCTGATCCATTGGTTTTCGTATTCAGTGTGAATGGAGACCTGCTACACAAGTTTAAAGTGTCAGGGTCACTTCCAGATACTGGTGTAGCCATAACGTTTCACAAGAAAAGTCAAAATGTGCTGGTTGCTTCTCTTCGACCAGAAAGCCGTGAGAGGGTCTCAGTGTACGAAGCGGACGGCCATCTTTTGCGTGTCATGCAGTTTCAAGATAAAGGAGGCCCCTTTATCACAGGAATAACAGCTACCCCCAAAGGCTGCATTGCTGTTCCAGGTCAAAATAAAGTACTTTTTCGTTAAAACCAAAGCGGAATGTTTGAATAGAAATGGTGATCATGACCTGGGCTTCTTTTGGTGGAATTTCGAGCAAAATTAATGCTTTTCGTAACCAGTGTTATGAGAAAAAAAGGGGGTGAGTGAAAGGATGAAAGTACACTGAAATGAACGAGTACATAAAAGAATAAACAAACGAAGCAATGAAAGAACTTATTTTTGAATAAATGGATGCACCAATGAAGAAATGAACGAAAGAAAGAATAAATACAAAAATAATTGGATTAAAGAAGGAAAGAAAGAAAAAATGGATGAATGAATGCCCTTTTTTATTCCAAACTAAATAATCTGTGGGCATCTCTCTGTACCAAGTTTTTTAAATATTTTATTCAATTACTGACTGATTAAAATTTTTATCAATACAAAGTTTCTGAAGAGGAGCACATATGAATAGTTTTGTATGTTTAATGGTCTGTTCGACCTCCAAAGATAAGCATCAACCTCGAGGCCGCCAAAATTACATTTGACCTCCTGAAAACCTCTCCTGCTGTGGCTGTTTTTTTTTTTTTCTATTATATTTCTTCATAATCCACATATTGTGACATGCCACTGAAGAAAATCTTCCTCAAACCTGTTACAATTATTTCTCTTCTCAGATAATTTGTCAAACGGCCCAAAATTTAATCGTTGACTATCAAAAAGAATGAATTTCAACTATCAACCGTTGAAGCAGCTCAATATGAGTCGTTAAATAGTTTAAAGTTCTTAAGTTCTGTCAAATCTAATTATTTTTAGTCACGTGCCACAGATTAACAGTTTAATATCTTTAAACATTTTTAGACTGCATGGTAAACAATTGTAAGATCTTGAGGAATTTCTAGACTGCCTGGTAAACGAGTGTATCAATCTCTTGATGGTAAACCAATGCTACAGATTTCTAAATTAACTCCCTTCTATAGTCAGTTTGACGGATTTTCACCTAAAATAACAGTTTGAAATTATTTCTAGTAGTCCTTTGCAATTCCTCTTCGGCGAAGTCAGTGACACATGTCAAAAATAATGCATGAGCAAAATAATGATGTACCCGCAGACTGAGTACAAATATCCCGCGATATTGTACAATAGGTTATTTTGTACTGTAAAAAAAAACTGTTTAACCAGTTGGCTGCACCTGCTATACTTCTCTATCTGCCTGGCTTTTTCAAACCTTTTAAGAAATGCACATGAAACAAAGAATATTTTAAATATGCTTTATTTCATGCGTATTACATATTAAACTAAACGCATATCTGCGTGAACTCAGGCTTTTAATATTGCACATCTGGAGTTCTCTTTAGGGGACTGCCATATTGTCATTGTTACTGTCATCATGCAATTTAATCATTGCTGGTCACGAATAAGTCTACTTGTGTTAATTTTTGTCTTCTGGAGTGTAATGAATGTTGTTATGGTACTAGACAACAATCTAAATAATACATTACCATCTAGGAGTAAGTTCCTGTAGATGCCAAGGGTTGAAATTCAAGGACTTTTCAATGACTTTGAAGGTCAAGTTTTAGATATTTGAAAGACCACTTTTGGGAAGTTTGCATAAGCAATTTTAAAATCATTTAATATTATTTCTCAGCTTTTCCATGAAAGTACTGTAATTTTCAACTTGAAAATTGTTAAAGAAAAAGCATTGCAAATATCAAGCCTCAGTCCTCAAACTCAAGTACTTCAAGGCCTTGAGTGTTTAATTTTTAAATTCAAGCATCTTCTAGGACTTTTATCTATTATTTGTACCAAGTCATAGTTTGTTGCCAAATGTTCACCCAAGAAGAGTTGTCAGAAATCAGTAGATTGAAGCAATATTACTGTTCTGTAGTTGATGTTATTAATAGAAAATCTTGGAATATTTCATTTTCCCTTCTGTTTCACAAGGGAATACATGACATTTTGATGAGAGAATCTAACCACTACTCAGAATTCGTAGCAGGCTTTTTTCAAGCACCCCTTCCAATTTATTAATTGATCAGTGTATGTCACCAGTGTATATAAAAAAAATCTTTACTAATATATTATGCATGTACCTTGAGTTGGGGAATTTCTGTGTTGTTTTCGGATGACATACAGGATTGGATCTTAAACATGGAGGACTATATATTCAATTACTGTTCCTCAAGGATGAATTCGTGGACCATAACTTTTCTTGCTATATGTCAATGATATCCACAGATGTTCAAATAAAATTTAGGTTTTACCTCTTTGCAGACAACACAGATATTTTGTATGCAGACAAAAATCTAAAAGACCTTGAAACAATAGTCAACAACATGTTACAAAACCTTTTAACTGGTTGAGAGGCAACAAACTAACTCTTAACACTAAAAAATCCAACTTTGTAATTTTTCATCCTTAAAAAAGTGACTGGCATACCAACCAAAACTCTACATTTTTGATAATGAAAAGAATATTAAATATGATCGTGTCAAGTCTTAAGTTTACATAAAATATCTGGGCCTTCTTATTGATCAGAATCTCTCTTGGAAATACCACACTGACTCTATTGTTACAGAAATTACTAGTCTGTGTAAATAACGACTCCTTGTCCTTAGATACTAGATGACTTATGTTATTCAGGTGCTTGTCTTGCCTCGCCATGATTAGCTTTCTAGCTATTTGCGTGGCAGACTATCCCACTTTTATTTTATGTAAAAAGATCAACGAATAAAACTGTTTGTTTTTTAGTTTTTTTGTTTTTCCAGTCATGGTACGGAAAGAAAACAAGTGTGTACAAATATCCACAATTTCTCTTAAGATGTGCAAAAGTCACCAAGCATTCACATTAAAACCGTATATTTAAAAAAAAAAAAGCACTAGGGTAGCAGCTGCAAAAATCAACCTTGACATCAGCCTAGTCAACTGGGCTGGTTGACACCTCCTTGGATCTCGCCTTTGCACTGCTTCCTTGCAAATATTCTCATGTAATCACTTTAAAAGGGAAGCTAAGCTAGCCTAGGTAATGAGTTACCGTTCAAGCACAGAAAGTGAGATTTTATAAATCACATCAGAAATTTTAACCAAGAATGCTCCAACGCAACAACCAGAATGACTTTGACAGGTCACACCACGTCGATCTTAGTAGGTCTACTAATGCCGATCGAATCCAATTAACTAACCAGGGTATCCGGACAATTCGCCCCCTTGACAATTAGCCCCAGACGATTAGCCCCCAATCTTTGGATGATTAGCCCCCTGTCTCTGGACTATTAGCCCCCTACCCACCATCCTTGAAATAAACTACGCTCTTGGTGTTTACTTTACGAAATCAATGTTTCCCTATCGTGTATTTTGAAATAAACAATGTTCTTGTTAATTGCTTCTTATGATCGTTTCTCTACCGTGCATATCAAATTGTAACGTATATTTTACAAAAGTGAACTGTTTTCCTTCTGTTTACATAGTTTACAAATGTTTCTTCGTCTTGTTGTTTATTTCAAGAACTTAAATAGGAAAGGAAAGAAACCAGGAACGAAACTTCGAAACTTAACTTGTTGGCGACTACTTGTTAATGTCTATGGGGGTTTATTTCAAACTCGCCACGGGCATTGTGTGAACTTTTACTAATTATTATTTCAAACCGATGCACAAGGTGCAAAATTTTATTCCTTGTTGATTATTTCAAAGCCTTGCAAAATGCGTGAACTTTTACTAATTGTTGTTTCATTGTTTATTTCAAACCCACGCGCAATGTGCGAACTTATGTAAATTTGATGTGAGACATTTCATTTATCCCAATTCAGTGCTCATTGTTTTCTTAAGTTAACGATTCCTCCAATCAAATGGCGTGTTTCGTTCGAACTAAAAATCTTGATCCTTGGGATGTGTATGAAAGGGATCCTTCAATTGTGGATACTAGTATTAGCTTATTCAGCAACAACTGATCACAGCTGCCCCTGTACATCCTGATCCAGGTACTTCACCAGGAAGCAACATTGGTCAACATGCAGATCCGTCTGGTTTCAGACAAAAAGCTGAAGAGA